CCTGCGCGTTTAATTGTTTTGGATCTCGCATATATTGAAAACAAAATTCGCCCATTTAATGAAACGATGTGTAGTTAGTGTCGAAAATGTCAACTAGCTGGCAAAGCCGAAAATTTCCTACAACTTATTAATATGGTTGTTATTCAAAATTAACGTGAACTGCGTACCATTTATATTTTTTAGAGCAATTTTAAAACAGCACTTACTCATCAGCTACATATGAAACAATTCCAGATTGATTACCTCCATGTTATATAATGGTCACATCATTCATAGTACCTCATGCATCCAATAACAAATTCTAATCATGCTCAGAATCACATTATTTCTTCAGTTTCCCTTTGTTTCACGCTATGTAAATGTACGGAACCTTCTTTAGATTACAAATGGAACTAAGACGTTAGATATTCATGAGTGATAAGATGAGTGTCCTACGTTAGTCCTTTAGACCACAATATCACGAAAATAGGTTAGTTCCTTCAGTTCTTCAGTGGCTGCCGTATGTTGCGGGTTGTTCCTTATATAGAATAACTGTGATTTTCCATCTTTTATCACGGAATTCGCTGCATCGGAAGCGACTGAAATGTTTTTTTCAAAGAACTTGATCTGTGAAGTGATGAAGTGAAGTGGGGAGAATTCAAATTCTAATGAAAATTTTGAAATGCACGCTGTATTATCGTACCTGATCGAACGAGCTCGAACGTTAATGTATTATGTTATTGTTATCGTGCGATCATGCATTTGGTGAGTATACGGGATGTTTGTTTACATGTTAAGCTTATCTGGTACTCGTGTAAACAGTTATTCTATAAATGGGACCTAAAACCTTCCTTAATGTCCAGAGCAAATTGAAGTTCTCTCCAATTATATCTTACTATTATCACGCCTAATTTTAATTTGTTTTACCTGCCTAAATTAAATAGCAATGACAAACGAGTTTTATTATTTTGTTGACACATTAAGATTGAATGTACATTGTCTGGTATTGTCGAGTTAAATAAAGAAGAAGAATAAAGAATCTAAATTTAACTAAGGTATTATTTCCCATTTCCTGCGAATTAAAAATTTATCGTGTAATTATAGGTCTTAATTAAATTGAATGAAATACGTTGCCTTATCGTGAATCAAACAGTGATAACAAATCACGCAGGATAACAGGGGACATTAATAATGTATATACAATATAACCTTGTTGAATGTTTCGGACGTAGCAGCCCCAGGCCACGCTCCAGGGAGAACTGCGCCTCAGAATTCAGCCACCCTTAGCCCACCCCCTACCCCCCAGGGAAGCAGATTGTTATTATTTATATAAGCGGGCTATTTATAGTAACTAAACCGAACGAAGCCTTTACCTCAACGAATATTTCGTATCGTAAATTCATATTATATAACTATTAACGCGCATGCGTGTCAATCAACTTCGAAAATCCTTATATAAGAATATAGCGAAGCTTAACACTCGAAAGAACTTTGACATTTTCTTACTCACTACATTAGAGAGATCATCGGCTAGACATGCAAATGAATTTCCAAATATTTACGAATTTTTTTGTGGAAGAACACTATCTGCCTAATTTAAGTGATATCGTATGCATTAGGATGTAATTAATTAGGTATGATAATCAACTCACTCACTCTAAAACTATAGCGCCCAAATAGTGATAGACTCTCTTCATTCATCACTGATATGTTTTTTTTTGTGGTCAAACTGGGCCAGGATTACCCACACAGAGACAGAAAAGCGCATTGCAATTTATCACAAAGTCTCACTAATTTCTCTAAAAAGCTTATGTTTAAAACTTCAATACTCCAAATAACACGAAATAATCAACAAAATTATCAGAAAACGAAACAACGATCGGACGAGTATTAATTACTACATATTAATTTTTAAGATTAAACTCGTATCTGAGTGATTTGGGAAACTAGGAACCTGATGTGTTGTGAATATTACTACATAATTGACGGAGCTGTACACTATACAAGCTTTTAAACTCAATAGATAAGAGCACAGATATGAGCCCTCTCGTAGAGTTTTCACAGAATACTTACTTAATACTGCCACGAACATTTTCTGCTCAAATGATAAGTAGTGTCATGAAAGGGAATTATCTTTACAGTTGGTTCGTGTAAGTCGGAACTCGATATGATATGGATTGTTTAGATTTTACTTTAGTTGTTCTAGTAAATACGAAAACTCCATTTTCGAGAAGTTAGTGCAAGGAGCAGGAGTATAATTATATCATTATAATTATTATTATAATGATCATAATTTTGTCCATGGACTAGAGCTATGGCCCGAGACGACATGAACATTAAAACTCAAATCATAAAGTATAAACAGTTAATAAATAGACTTCATTTTCAGCATTGAAAAAACAAAAAACTACAAAGGAGCATCTCAATAGACTACAGCAGCATTCTGCATATGAAACAATTAATGGGAAATGCAATCTCTTGGGATAATAAATTATGGCGGATCAGCGGTCATTAGGCCGTAGGCCTTTCACCGATTTCTAACATAGCATAATGTTCACAGCTTGTTGCGGTCTCGAACCCGCACCTTTCTGCTTCAGCCGTGGTATTCCTGAACTGGAACCATTGGGCCACCCATGTTAATCTTAACTCCAGTCACGTTAAAAATGAATGAAAACTACAAATGAATGAACCGCAATATTGATCAATAAGTCTGGTACGATTGGACGTAAAAAAATTATTATATTTAAGACGATAAATTTTAAAGCTAAATTCCTAGACGTACATGTATGTATAATAAATTGCAGGTACCGGAATCAACCTACAACTTTAGGTCTTTTTGGATTTTGTATGCTGTTTAAAATTTTTGAGAAATACTTCAGATTCGAAAAAAAAATTTTTTCTTCTCTATTCACCGTGAATTTTGAAGAAATAAAATTTGAGACATTTTTATCTTCAGGACTTCCGAAGAAATGAATAAGAATTAATTAAAATCAGAATTGGTCATATATATCTAAAAACATCTCCTTCAATAATCGCAATTTAATAAATAGTAGTGTATGGTATAATATAGAAGTCTTAGCTTGCTGATGTCGAAAAGATTTTCCGCAACCAGTTCTGGGTTTCGAACTCCCAAAAGCGCTGCTTTTATTTTCAATCAACTCGCTGCCACCACATCTGGAAACCGTAAAAATGTTTAAGCTAGCGATGAAATTTTCGTGATCATAAGCCTACTACAATATATGCAGTAAATCAATCGGCAAATGGATGTTAGAAAGTGATGTTCAATTAACGTGACGTGGTGAGTGATTGAATGACAGACGTGTAAATTTTATCATATTGAAAAAATTTTCAGGTCTTGAAATAAAATTTATTAAATACGCAATAGTGGTGTCAGACGTAACATGGTTGAAACCTTCTTGTCGAAATTTATACAGCCGCCGTTATCAACTGAGCTCGAATTTCAAAACCCAGTACCAGGACTTGTCCATTGGTTCTTTTCGTTCATCAAGCAAATGTATGCGTGCACCAGACATGAAATTTTTGTTAATATCATTGTCTTTCAATCATTTCAAATTGTTTACTATGAATTACTGCAATTAAAAACTTATTTTAAAAGAGTCTACCGATATTCTGAACGCCGTCAATGACTTGCATTATAATTAAAGGTTTTTTGATTATGTTATATATAGTTCTACTCGTGGCCATGATCAATCGATAACGGCTAAATTACTCGGAATGATTAAATTTATTATATTTTTCAGTTTCCTACCACTATGGTGTAAACTGATCGTTTCTATTACCTTCATATGATCTATTTGCCCCTAATTGGCTGCTGTGTGCGACGTAATAGCCATGATACGCATTTACTTGTTGCGCATGCTATGTGCTCAATCATATCACTAACGTGCAGTATTCAATGATTTGGCAACCCTACTTTCTGTGCACTGTTACCTGCTTGGAATATTCCCATGCTCACAATGATCATGAATCGGCGGGAAAGAGCCTTCTATCATGGACACCAACCGTGCTCTAAAAAAAGGAACAAAACACTGTAGCCGGTGAGGTGGCTGAGAGAGAGAACTTTGGCGCGTGGAATGGGGGTTGGGGCACGGCAGCTCGGGGGTGAGGCGGCCACATGTAACGAGCTGAGAGCTCAGCAGGCGTTGAACTATTTACGCGGGAGGCCGTCAACTTTTACCATTTAAACGCACAAACACCCAAGCACAGAAATTTTTATTAATAAGTCTTGCTGTTGGTCGAATATTTTTAATGTTTATAACAGAGATAACTGTAGAGATACAATAAATTTTTGTAATGACTATTATTAAAATGACAATCCAAAACTGTCGGTTTCGTTCGTTTTTTTGAATAATTGAATTGAAAAATACTTTATCATTATTCATTCAATCAAATCCTTTTGGTTTAATATGAAACAATTTTTAACAACAACTTACAACTGTCAAATAAATTCAAGGTTATTTGGCGGTGGGAGGAATTCATTTCAAGCAAAGCCCTGTTTTTCAATGTGATGGACAAAGCACGAATGTTTTATTGTCAAATGGCTAGCTTATAACAACAGATTCAATTTTTTTTAATTTTCAACGTTAGTATAATCTAATCTATAAGATTCCAGCCCCAGAATGTGCCGGTTTACAGATAAAGCTGTTCAGATTCGAATATAATCGTGCCCGAGCGGGAAACTCTTTAGCGCCAAGGTTCATTCGCACCTAGATCAGCTGGCGCCGAAAATCGAATTTTATACTTGCCGCCGAACAACGTCACCAAACAGCTGCCTGTTCTACTAAGAACATGGGTATCTCAGCATAAGAACTGCAAAGATATTCAATGTAATATGCATAAAATTTTTAATCAAAGAGCCTGCATGAATGCTTGAAAAAAGTTTTGATATCATAATTTTGCTAAATATTCGATGAAATAATGGAAAAATTACAAAATGGAAAATTTTTGTGAGAGATGATTTGGCGGTATCTGGCAATGAAGGTCGCAGTGTAGCTAAGCTCCTCCTCAGATGTGCTAGCGCCGAGCCCACTGCAGGACGCGGTGAGCGAAGACTGAAGACGCACAGTGAGTGTAGGCGAGTGTGCATAAAGAGATCATTGTGAAGCAGATCTACGATTTGTATATAAAATAGAGTTGGAATTGTGTCCATTTTTCTAATTCCGATGAATATAGATATTTAATTATGCTATTTGTCCAAATGCGGTTCGATAACCTCAAATGACCTGCCCCTGCGTGCCTTTGTCAGTTTGTGACTTCTTTCCTGGGAAATTTTGGCGCGGGTGAGTTATTACAAAATTTTCACGCTCTTTACCACGATTTTCTTCCTATGTCTTGTATAAATACTGATCATTATGTTTTTTTTTTAATTGTGAATTTCCGCGTCCTTCTATTTCAAATTATAGTTTAGTTGCATGTTGTACTCCATGTTTTGAAATAAATCAAATATAATTTTGAAAATATTAATTCGATGATCAGCAATGGCCGATGCTATGGCACTATCATTATGATTATGACAAAAGAGTGCTAAAGAATATCACATCAGAATTATAATTCTCTCCTTGCTTTGTGTTTTAGTATATATATATATATATACCTAATCTTTTGTTTTGATGAGATTTTTATTCATTTGTATATACACTACCTAGCTTTTAACTTTAAAATTAGCCTATTTAATACAGGATCTGGTGTAATAATTTCATTGAATATTTGCCATTAAATTTCTTTATTCACACTAAATTATTACTAGATATTTTAGTGTGTCAATTGCTGAACTTTTTCCTAAAAAGTTTTTTCTCAAAAAATTAAAGTAATATCATTAATATAATATAATTTAAGTTATTTATGAATGTAAAATATCTCTTATTTAATTTATTCACCTACCATCAATACATTACACATCAATGCCTATAACCTCACCACTCGCAGCAGCACCAAAGCTGCCACCTGCCAGCTTTCAAAACTGGCAAAAGTGAACCACACATTTCCAGCACCGCAGCACAATCAAAACAGCTTTGTAGTTATCTTGTTGTTACTGAATCTTACAAGTCAAAGTTCTAACCAGACCAGCATTATATGGTTTTTAGTGAGGAGCGGCAAGGTATGTGCAGTTTCTGCTGAGTGATGACTTGTGTGACATTGATGGTAGTTTGTGTTGACAAAGCTAATACAAGCTATGTTCTTATAGATTTATTTTTAACACATTGACTCAGAAGTGGTAGGTACACATGTGTTACAGAAAGGAGGTGTTTTTTTTTTTTCAGGACATAGCGGTACTGCCAGTACATATATGTCCCATTAAAATTATATAAACATTTTTTTCAAAATAGATTTTACTGTACTAGTACAGTAAACATATTATACATATTATTCCAGTAGTAGAATGCTTAGGACCAATGAAAAATTAATAAAAATCCTCAATTTGTGTATTTCACAATAGTAGTAAAAAAAAAGAAATAGGTAATAGTACAAGATGCAGCAATTACAGTTTATTACTCCGATCATTTATTACTCCAAGTTTATTACTCCAATCATTCAAATCATTACTTTACATTAAAAAATACTGTCATATTGTATTCAATGCATCATAACATATGAATTCTTTGTTTTATGCAAAGTAAAGTAGAACATTTTCTAAAGCCACTTATGTATGAGCTAAAATTGCCCATACTTCTGAACTATTTCACTCATACAGTTTTCTTTTTGAAAATTTCATTCATATTTGTGCTATGTTCTATAGAAATTTTGGTGATAGAGTAAAAATGAATCATTAGCTAGTAGCTGTCAGTAAAGTTTATGAAATTGTTAGAAAAGATCTTGCTACAAATCTTTGCCTGTGGCAATTTTTTGTATGTAAGATATTTTTATCTACCGTCATCTGAAGAAAAGTTCCACTCCCTGATAATATATATATATATATTAATGTTGCTGACTGATGTGCCGTTGAAAATTGTTTGGATAGAAATTGTTGGATAGATTTGACCAGTTTAAATAGAAAATTGTGATATGACACCATCTTTAAAATCATTTTAATATGTTCTGAATATTAGGTTGCTGCACATCTAGAATATTGTTAAACTCAAGGTTTGATAATTTGACGTTTGCTGCAGTCTATTTCCAGTCAACTTGAGGCATAGTATTTACCACAATTCTTTTTGCCTTGCTTGCTATGAAAGTCTTTTATGAAATTGCTGGTGTGAAATAATAAGTAAAGAAAATAGCCAAAAAGTTCACCATTTCTTATAAGAGAGAACGTTTCGGAGTCCAGCTCCATCGTCAGTTCAAAACCTAGAACACAGGTACAAACAATTAGTAGCCTAAAATTCACCATTATTATTCATGAATTCAAACATTATTAAACCGCGGTTTCCAAATTTGCTCTACTTTCCATAGTATGCACACTGAATTTGAATATTTGTGCAGTATGTTCTCACAGAATGGGTTTCCTTCACAATTTGTGTATACTCAAATTAAGAAATTATTGTCTAAACAATATGCTGATGTGGTTCCTGAACGTGACGATAGGAATTGTGTTTATTGCTCTTTTCCTTACTTTGGCCCCGCATCTGACATGATGGCAAAGGAGTTGAAAGATCTATTCTCTAAATACCTCCCAAATGTAAATCTTAATGTATTGCTAATGAACAATTTTAAAATTAGCTCGTTTTTCAAGTACAAAGATCCTTTCCCTGTTCTTATGCGATCATCCCTAGTTTATCAATATAGTTGTGCGCAGTGCGCATCTGCGTATGTCGGTATGACATCACGCAATTTTTATACTAGGCTTGCAGAGCATAGGGGCAGGAGTTATAGAACAGGGAACATACTTGCGCATCCCCCTCATTCAGCCGTACATATTCATGCCGAGCAGTGCAACGTCCCGGTGTCCAATAGTGATTTTAGAGTTTTAGCCTCCACAACCGGTGTTTCTGACCTACAAATTTTAGAATCATTGTATATTTTCAAACAGAAACCCAGTTTAAATGCTGCATTCAGTTCCTATCCTCTACAAATTGTAAATAGATACTAGTACTTTCTCTACATGTTATCTCATTTTTATTTCTGTTATCTTCGATTTTAGTTCTAATGTCCTCAAGTTTAGGTGAATTGTTTGAATGTGAATTTTAGGCTACTAATTGTTTGTACCTGTGTTCTAGGTTTTGAACTGACAATGGAGCTGGACTCTGAAACGTTCTCTCTCATAAGAAATGGTGAACTTTTTGGCTATTTTCTTTACTTTTAAATTCCTGGTGAATTTGCGACTTGAGCAGCTAAGTGATTTTAATACTTATATCCATCTCATTACAGATACACCGAGTTGAATCTACATCATCAAAGCTGAATGGATGGCAGCATAAGTGCAGTGGATGTCAACCTATAGTCAGGACTTTGCTACTCCCAAGCCTTCTCAATGTCTGCATCCAACAGGAGGTTGCCTTAAGCCTTCCTAATTTGATAACAATTTTTGCCTTGTAAAAATCATTGAGTAAACTTGCTACACATGACAATAATTGCAAGCTTAAGAATTACTACCACACATAAATTATTATAGGGACTTTATTTAATATGTCATTGCAGGGCCTACTTTTTGATGATCATCATATACTAGCTTTTGTATACTTCTGCGCTGAGATTCATGTATTTTAACTCAATTCTTGGTTAAATAAAATTTATCTGAACCATTCTATTTTTAAATGACTCCTTTGGGCCTGTCACCTAAGTTGAATAATAATGCCACAAGTTGAAAATTATTTTTCAAATGTTGTCTTAATCTTGTAGAATGGGCATATTTAGATAATAATCAATAGTAAAAGGGAAGTGACTTTTTGCTTTTGTTTTTATTAACATAGACTGATATTTGATATTGAATTTAAGTATATGTGCACGCAGTTCTTCGGTTGCTCCATTACTGAGACAAATTTTCTAGGAATCATTTTTTTGTTTGTACATGTGTCTCTGTTATGTGAATGTTATGCCATCATGAGTAATCTCATTGTCAATTCTCTGCCCAAGCATATTTTTGTGAATTTTATTTATTTATCAATTTGGTTTTTGTAGAATTGAATTAAAGGTAATCTTACCTCTATGTGCTTAAGTTGAATGAGAATTCAATATTTCTATATTGGCTGTCTGTTTATACCAAGTTAGATTATTGGTTTAATATAGGCCACGGTGGTAAAACTTAATTTTTTTTACAGGTCAAAGACCAGTTTATTAGCAGACAAGTGTGGGCAAACTGACCACTTCTCAAGCAAGAGGAAGGAGTCAGAAGGCGGAGAGAGCCTCTTTGGATCAAATGTTGCTGTAGTTTTCACTGGTTGCAGCGAGGCTGATGCCAGTGAGCCCTGTGCTAAACTTCCCAGACTAAGCCCTAATATCAAAGGCAGCTGTGGTCAGTCAGAGCGCAGAGCTTCTTTGAGGAACAGATCTGCCATCAGCAGTGCCATTGTGAACAGGCGCAAAAGCAGTCGACTCTCACGAAACATAAAAGAAGATCCTTGCCGTATTATGGCAAGTGGAAATGGTGCTGCTGCGAGTGGATTCAAGGATGATCAATCTATTGCACGAGTTCACAAGTAAGATAATTTCTTATATTATTACTGAATTTCTAGAATAAAGTGACAGTTGTTGTGCATATGAAGCTATGATTTGTTACATGTTCTGCAGTTTGAATACATTTTCCATAAATTAATATTTGTTTGTACAATTGTAATGCATTTTTTTTGTAATAATGTAATTAAGTTTTTCTGAAGAGTTAATTATGTCCTCTGTAAGCACAACATGACAATCATTCAACTATATGTGTATAAAGGATTTAGAAACTCATTGATTCTTCCAGAAAAACTATCTAGGATATTCTTGTTACTTGATATTTTCAAATGTGATTTTGTGAAAAGGAAGGAAACAGACAGACGTCAGTCTCTGCAGCCGCAAAGCTTGCGGTCAGATGGCACAGTGAAGCATTCCCAGCGACGCATGTCCCATCACTTCCCACCCACACCAGATCCCTTCAGCGCATCTTTGATTGCAAGGCATAGCGGTAGTCAGCCTTTGGATGATGTCACTGCAGCACTTCTCAATGAAAACAGAAGTCATGCACAACAGAATCTTCAGGCTTCTGCTTATAGTAGTAGTAGTGTAACGTTAGTTCCATCTAGTTCTAGTAGCTCTTTGTCTGTTGATTTTCCCTCCGTTTATCAAAATGAAGTTACAGTGATCACTAGTCATATTCAAGACAAGAGTCCATTTTTAGCTAACCAAGCGGCATCATCTCACCTAGTCAATCAAGGGGAAAGAAGCTCACAGTTATCACAGCCTCTGGAGTACTGTAGGTCCAATTCCTATGGCAAGCACATATCATCTGTAAATTCCATTGAATCCTGTAGTTCCTCTGGGAGGGCATCCAGCAGCTATGAAACGTGCTCTGCTGCATATAGTACTGAGTATTCGGATTATTTGAGCTCTACTGCTTTGAATAGTAGCTCTTCTACAGCTTCTTGCAATACTGATAGTGTAGGCAGGGAGTATACCAACGTACAGCCCAAAGATGAGTTGAAAGTTAGGAGCTCCTGTGAAGAAGTCATGGAAGTTCCTCGGTCGGTTACACCTGATGCTCCTCTTGAGTCTAAGAGGTAGGTTCTGCCTGAATATATGCCAAAATAATGCATGATTATCTCAAAATTATCTTCTTTTGGTTCTTCTTTTTAAGATGACTATGAAATAAACTAATCTTTTATTTGTTTTTAATACCTTCTAGCTGTAAAATTAATGATGTACCGGTATACGTTTTGTTCCAATATGTTACACCTTAATTTTTGCATGTGCAGCAATGATGTATACACACCTAGAGTGAGAGTGAACCGAGCGTCGCCCCTGCCGCCGCTGACGTGGGCAGACCGCCACCTTGTCTGGAAATACATGTGCGACAAGGAGCGTGACTACAAACGCACAGCAGCAGTTCTGGACGCTCACCCTGCACTTCAGTCGAGAATGAGGGCTATACTCCTCGACTGGCTGAGTGAGGTAAGTGATATTACCTCAGGAATGAGGGCTATACTTCTTGACTGGCTCAGCGAGGTAAGTGATGTTACCTCAGGAATGAGGGCTATACTCCTCGACTGGCTGAGTGAGGTAAGTGATATTACCTCAGGGATGAGGCCTATCCTGGAATGACTGGCTCAGCAAAGTAAGCACTAGGATTATACCTCCTAATAATACTACGATAGGATTGTTAGTGCCCAACTTTATGTATAAAACAACACAAGAAGACATGGATGCTTGGTCATGGTTCGACACGGTATTTCTTGGTTGTGACACAAGTTTTTGCACTCAGCTGTAAGTGGTACTTAATGAACTGATCTAATACTGAGGTGTGTCATGTCATTACAACAGGTTTGGTGCGAGTTCTGTGCAGGTTTCAGGTGTATACTAAACGAAACGTAAGACATTGAGCATAGGTGTGTTATGTCACTATCATTAACACAATTAAGATACATGTGTTATATGATTACAATATTATATTATAATACGATTGTATGCATATAGTTAAAATCTAAAAACTGCGCCGTAAGTCATATTTCCTAGCTGATGATATAATTTTTGGTGCGCAGGTGTCGGAGGTTTACAAACTGCACCGTGAGACTTACTACATCGCCGTTGACTACATCGATCGTTACCTTCAAGCCACTTGTAACGTTCCCAAGCAGCAGCTGCAGCTTCTCGGTAATATTTTATTATTATTTTTATTAGTAATATTTGCTATTATATACTGTGTTTTGATAATGCATAAGAAAAATATCCGTGGGGCTTATAAGTTAGTGGATAACAGTTCCTATCATTCACGTTGACGAGTGTTGCATCGCTATTTTGATTGCTACAGATTCTTGTGTGTATTATTACCATTTCAAAATGGTATTCATCCATAATTAAATGATAATCTGAATGTAATTTATTTATTTGTTTACTTAATGGAAAGTAAAAAGCATATTATTTCACTATGCTCCTAGCCAGCTTAGTTTTTTTTTACATTTTTGTACATAATTGTGTTAATTTTAGCGCTATCTTCTGCACCATCTTTTACACTTATTAATTACATGATTCAATGTTACATATCCGCAAATGTGAAGTTTTCACTAGTGTATCACCTGTTTTGTGGGCCTTTTGACTTCGACATTCACATTATTGTTGAATCACCTTGTTGAATCACCTGTTGAATACCAACCTGTATTAATTAGTATAAATTGTTCACCAATTTGGCTACAGTGTATTATTTTGAACTGTGTCAACAATGGAACTAACACAAAATATAATGGTCAGCTGCGTTTTTTTTGTTACTCTTTCAGGAGTAACATGTCTCTTACGCTTGCAGGGTTAACATGTCTCTTTGTCATGGTTGCAGGGTTAACATGTCTCTTTGTCACGCTTGCAGAGGTAACATGTCTCTTTGTCATGGTAACATGTCTCTTTGCCAGGGTTGCAGAGGTAACATGTCTCTTTGTCAGGGTTGCAGAGGTAACATGTCTCTGCGTCACGCTTGCCAAGGTAACATGTCTCATGGTTGCCGGAGTAACATGTCTGTGTGTCACGCTTGCCGGGGTAACATGTCTGTGTCACGCTTGCTGGGGTAACATGTCTGTGTCACGCTTGCAGGGGTAACATGTCTGTGTCACGCTTGCAGGGGTAACATGTCTGTGTCACGCTTGCCGGAGTAACATGTCTGTGTCACGCTTGCTGGGGTAACATGTCTGTGTCACGCTTGCCGGGGTAACATGTCTGTGTCACGCTTGCCGGGGTAACATGTCTGTGTCACGCTTGCCGGGGTAACATGTCTGTGTCACGCTTGCAGGGGTAACATGTCTCATGCTTGCAGGGGTAACATGTCTCTTCATTGCTGCCAAGATGGAAGAGATCTACCCACCGAAGCTCTCAGAGTTTGCGTACGTTACTGATGGGGCTTGTCGGGACGAAGAGATCATTGAAAAAGAACTCGTTGTAGTTAAGGTGAGATTCATATTCTCTTTGTATGTATAGTCAACATTGTGCTTAATTTATTTATCATTTAACTGCACCTTCTCTATGATCTATTGTTTTATTCAGATGCTCAGTTTTGCGTGTCATAAATCATTACAATTGATTCTCACCTTTCACAAATTTTTCATTAAAACTAGATTATAAAAACCTGATTTGTTTTAAATCCCGCCCAAAAATTTAATATTCTACCGAATTAATATTCAAGAAGATATATTTTTTCCCCTCATTATAGTCATACAGCAACATGAAAATTCTGTAGGAAAATTAGTCTAATCTCAAATTCATTAAATAAATTCTCATTCGTAAAATTCCTGCTTACTAGTGAACTAGCACCATACTATCAAAACTTCCTAAGTACATATGGCAGCTTAACACACATAGTGGCCTAAGTACACATAGCGGCTAACATTTTGTCACCAAGTGGCAGGGTTGGCGATTTTTTTGATTTTTTAAAAAAATCAAAAAAATCAAAAATCAATGATTTATTTGATTTTTTCATGATTTTTTTGATTTATTTGATTTTTTTGATTTTTTCAACTTTTTTGTCTATTTGAAGTGTTATTTTTTTATGTTGCTGTTAGCCTACTAACAATAACAGTATATGGATCATAATGGATGGCTAAAATCAATATAAATTAAAGACTGCCACTCAATATATTTAAATATATGAAAAAATCAAATAAATCGAAAAAATCAAAAAAATCATGATTTTTTTATAAAAAATCAAGTGATTTAATCACATGATTTAATCATTTTGATTTAATCATTGCCAACCCTGCCAAGTGGCGAATTTAGATTTAAAAGCCGTCAGTGATTGAAGTTATAGACTCGTACTATTTTTTTTGACTGTTTGGACTGTTTAGCGTGGACTGTTTGGACTGTTTAACATGGGCTGATTGTGCAGACATTGTCATGGAAGCTCTCGCCCCTGACGTGCACCGGCTGGCTGAAGATGTACATGCAAGTCCTGCACGAGGGACGCTCCAACGGTCGAACTCTTGACGGTCCTGAGACAGAGTTTGTCTACCAGTGCTTCCACGGAGAAAACTTTGTGCAGGTGCGTCCTACTTTCTTTGTCAATAGATTTGTTACCCATCGTCAATGGCCTGTTAAAAGCCTCTTAAAAAATGCTCATCGTTGCTGAAAGCTTGTTAAAAAAGAAATTCTATCAATAAATAAAGTGTCTACAAGGTGTTTGTCTCCATGGTTTTGTCTTCCTGTGCATGCACAGTGACATTTTTTTCATATGCGTTTCACTTTCTTTGTCAATAAATTTATTAATTTATTAAATGATATTATTTCTGAAGGCCAGGTGATGAGTATTTTTTCCTGGGATAGAAATTGAGTGGAAAATGCCTAACAAACAACAATTTTATTTCGGTGCCTTAATCTTGGCTTTAACGGTATTTGTATTGCACAAAAACTTTCATGGCTCTTGCAAGAACCATACTAAAACACCATAACTTCCATTGCTCTTATTTGCATGGACTTTTGCTAATAGCAAGATAGTATTAAGTAAAATTTTAGTCACGGGTTTGTAGTTCTTCATTACCTTAAAGTGTACAACAGTTTAATTTCCATGGTAGCCTAAAGTGCACTTCAGTCACAATAACGTAGTTCAGCAGATGAAAGCACGTTATTTGGCAGATATGATAGTTTCCTAATTAGTGTCTAAGGGAAAATATTAATAATTCAAAGCTTTAGTGTTACGTGCCATGCATAGTTTATATTTAATTGATTAAATGTTATTTATAGAATTCGTTCCACCGTTTTCAGATTTGCCGGCTGCTGGATCTGTGCACCCTGGAAGTGTCATCGCTGAAGTTCCCTCCGTCTCTGCTGTCGGCGGGGGCGCTCTCGTTTTTCTGTGATGTACATCGGACCTCTAAGCTCACCATGTACTCTGTGGTCAGTCACTGAGCATTCTTATTGATTAAATTTTATTTGTTCAATGAGAAATTTTGCATTATCAATTGAGTGTACACACATTTATTTCGCGTAGAGTTGTGGGACTGCTTATAATTTGATCAAGATTCAATGAATCGATCGTTCATTTCCAATGCAGCAAATTGGGAGCTCAATACCACTTACCAGTGTTGTCTCTACCGAGTGAGGATGTTACCAACACAAGGGAAGTGTAGAAGCGCAACTAAGCTGTGTGCCTGTTAACTGAAACGTTTTCTTCTACAGCTTGATCTGCTGGTGGTCCAACGCTGGATGCAACCTTTTGCCGAGACCATAGCAAAGATGAAGCATCCTGCACAGCTGAAATCCTTCAAAAACGTCGCTCCTGACGATTATCACAACATCCAGACCAAGAGTGTTGGCCTTGAAGAACTGGTGTGTTGTTAATGTTATTTACAGCACGTTATGTGTGAGAGAATTGAGTATTCATGTGAGAATTGTGCATTCATGAATTCTTTTGAGAATTGTGAATGTATTCATGTGAGAGAGTATTCATGTGGGAATTGTGTCTTGTTCGGTGTGGACACTTTTATTTGAAGAAAAAAATAATACCGTCAACTGTGAACTTTACTTCACTGCTGCTAATACTGCTAATTTCGAATCACTCCAAAAATTTGATTAGAGTGTAGTGAACCACATCTGTTCTCATTTGTAACTGTGATAATTTTATCAAATGTCTGTGTGGATTTTTGGATTAGCAATTAACTAGATATTAGAATATAGTAATAGAATTATATAGTATTGATGTTAATTATCGTTTTAAACGTAGTTACCCAAAGTATCATGACACGCAAGCCATTTTAAAAGATTGTATGACTACATTTGCACTACAGGAGGCAGCGCTAGTCAACCTACAGGCTGCAGAACCAGTGACGTATGAAGAGTCGACCTCGCCAGTCCACGAGGCCGCTCCTGTGTCTGTCCTCACGCCTCCCAAGACTGAAGAGAAGAAGGACGAAATCTCTGAGGGAAGCAGCCACTCGAAACAAACTTGTGGGATGCTCACTACAGTGCCATACTTCAGGCAGTCTGATGATTATGCTGGTGCTGAGAAACAAATAATTGTATTGAACCAAAATTCCCATTGAATAATAATGCTGAATTTAGAAAATTCCCATTGAAACAGTAACGCTCTTTATTGAAAGTTTGCGTTGAAACAATAATGCCGGTTATTGAATGTTTGCATTAAAAATTTACATCCAGATATTCTAGTATGTGGATTTAGTGGGAGATTATAATTTTCTCTAGTACGGCTTTTCAGAAGACTGGCTAGTGGACAAAGAAGTATTAAGTCTAATGAACAATGATGATCAACTCTTATGATTCGTTTTGTTAATGCTTAGTTAACCTGATTCTGCTGCTATGATGCGTGGGAATTGCAAGGAATATAATGCTTTTTAAAATTATCCTTGATATTTGAATAGATATGATTTCATGTACCACTTTTTGTCAGCAACAAAAAAGCCTCAAGTCTTTACAAAAATTCAGAAGCTTTCGTTTTTTTCCTGTAAACCGAAATATTGTGATATTTCCCCGTAAGAAAGTCACCAATAAGTTTGACTCGATCATTTAAAAATTTTTAGTGATTTTGAGACGACAGTTGCGAACTGGAAAGGAAGGAGTATGAAATTGGATTTTTGTGTGAAATTGATTATTTTTTGCGCTTTCAAATTGCTTACGCAAACAGTTGAATAAAAAATTTCTCATTCTCTAGAAATACATCAAAATAAAAACGCCTTCTTGTAGGAAATAGTTATGTTCACGTGCTCTGAGAATGCAATTGATCTGAATCGCTAGAAACCTTTCCCCTACTACTACTACTCCATCAACAGTTTTGAGCTCTCTACAGTTTTGAGCTCAACAGTTTTGAGCTCAACAGTTTTGAGCTCTCTACAGTTTTGAGCTCTCAACAGTTTTGAGATCTCAACAGTTTTAAGCTCTCAACAGTTTTGAGCTCTCAACAGTTTTGAGCTCTCATCAGTTGTGAGCTCTCAACAGTTTTTAACAGTTGTGAGCTCTGAACAGTTTTGAGCTCTCAACAGTTGTGAGCTCTCAACAGTCAGTTGAGTGCAAGTCACTGTGGTTAAAGTTTGTAACCTTTACACTCAACACGTTTTTATGCTCTTAACTGTACATTTTAGTTCAAGAATCCCTGATTAAATTTGTTCCTTTGTTGTAGATGGAACCTTGAAGATGGGATTTAGGCGAGTTTTTATTATTAGTAAAAGTTCTTGTTTTGAGTGAATAGAATGAGCTTATGGTTCAACTCTGTCTTGTTATTTGGCTCATTACCAATCAAGCTGTATAACACTGCCATGTTTGCTAGCCATCATAAGTTGATTATCATTATCTCATCGTTGTTAACGTTTCATTCATTTCATCATTTGTTCTATTGTTGAGATTGTAATCGCATCGACATCGTCCATCATACTCTCATATTCTGATGACGTCCAACTGATTTTGCTTTATTTTGTACTTGTGGATATTTCTATTTTTATGTCGTAGTGCTGTGAACTTTTATGCAGTGTGTACCATTGAACCTTCATATTTGCCAGTTTATTATATAATAAATTCAAATTTTAAGTCACGCTTCCTTAGCGCGATTTCTAATTTGAATGCTAAATACGACGTTGTTTAATGGTGCAGGCTGACATGCTGCCTTTAGGACTTTAAATCTCTTGAATTATTTCTTGTACATTATATTTGTTAACTGAACCAGGTAGGATGTATTGTGCTGACATTAGTGTTTGTTTGTTGTGCGGCTGTGACGTTATACGTCTCATTCTGTAACGATAATTCGCGCACTTCTTTGTAAGGTCTTGACTTTATCTAATGTTCAGTCGTTGTGACTCGTAGATGGCTATGTAACAATGATAGGCATAGTTTCATCATGAAAGTAATTATCATTGAAGTCGTAAAATGTTGAGAAATCTTTCAGTTAACGATGCTTGTTTATTGGTGCTGGGAACAGTTCTACATTCAGGTAGATTATTTGTTATGAAAGTTCAGCATCAACTTGCAACTGTGAACTTTTTTTGGCATTTTTGCAATTATTTTCTCACTTCCCCCTGCTACTAACGACAATAACACCAACAATAATACTAATATAATAAATTAATACAATATTAATCAACTTGCCACTGCCAAATATGCCAGAAACCAAGCAGTCGTCCCCATTAGGCTCTGAATTTGTTTTAAACGCCTCAGCGGCTTTCAAGTATTCCACTGTCTGCAGAATACTTACTTTTAATGCTCATTATTTAAAGAAACTATTAGGTATATGTGAGACTTGTACTAACAATCATATGCTCAACGCTGCTCATAGAAATATCTGTATATCACTATTTGTTGTTTTTTTGTATCTCGCTTTATCCTATTTTATGTTTTTCTCCTTTATGCATGTTAATTTCATTTTTTACACGTGTTGCATTTCCCCCCAGATATTGTATTATTTTACACATGATGTATACATTTACACATGTTGTATTATTGCTTCATATTTTGCACTATGACACGATGTTACTGTGGTCTTGTGATGGGCATTTATGGTGCGCATATGGCGTTATGGTGGGCATTTATGGTGTGCATGTGGCGTTATGGTGGGCATTTATGGTGCGCATATGGCGTTATGTGCATGTGGCGTTATGGTGGGCATTTATGGTGCGCATGTGGCGTTATGGTGGGCATTTATGGTGTGCATGTGGCGTTATGGTGGGCATTTATGGTGTGCATGTGGCGTTATGGTTGGCATTTATGGTGTGCATGTAGTGCTGTGGTGTGTACAAGGCGCTGTGATTGACATTTATGGTTCGTATTGTAGTGAGCATTTCATGCCTAATTGATACATTAATTACCTAAATATAATACATTGTTCATCAATGAGGTAATGACATACATGTCTTATATATAACGTAACGTAAATAACTTGTAATTAACGCATCTAGTTATTGGCATTACGTATCAATAATATGAAGAATTAAAACAATATCTCAAAATGTTCGTATATTCAGGACATAAGAATAATATTATAACCACTTAATCTAGTGTTACTTCAGTAACGAAGATCATTTGGGCATTATATGTGATTATTATTACTTTGAAATGTATTTATTGAAACCTAGTGTATTTAATCCCGTGTGATCTATCGCGTTAGGCATTATTCAACTGCATTCTATTTCCGTGGACGTTTCGTGGTCGTCCTCGTATCTACAGTTTTCTTGGCGCTGCGCTTAGTTTCCATTTATTAAGATGATCCCAATCAGTTATTTGTTCTTCATAGAATAAAATTAATGGTTAAAGTGGAGCTAATTCACACAGATCTGCTCTGCCTGACGACAGCAACATTGTGTTATGGCCCATCCCAATAAGATATCGCATATAAGTGTAATTTTTATGTACATAGGGGTAAGCTGCTTGCTGATGTAGCTCTACTGTAGTGCCCTGCAACACAAGTGTTCGTTATTAATATATAATCTTTATCATTTCCTTCTTTATTTTCACTCCCTTCTACTAACATCTCACAATTCTTCTCTTTCTCTTCCTCTCCTATTCTCCTTTCATTCCCCTTTCCCACTTCCTCTTCTCTTCCTACCACCTCCACCTCTAATCGCCTGCAGCTCAAGAACAGCCCAGTAATATAGACCTTAACTTTTGTGAACAGAATTTGTGTGATGACTTGCATAAAACTAGTTCTAAGTGGTAGATTATAATGATGATACTGATGCAGTCGTATCCTGGAGAAGTCATTATGTCTATAAGAATGACACATATCATTACTCTAATGTTGATAATTGTGTTATGGATATCATTAGTTGTAGTATTGATTGTCGTTAATTACATATCATTGACAATGTCACATATCACATGTGCATCATTGATGCTTTCGAGAGGAGTATTACTGATAACGTAGCATATCATTTGGTGCAACATTGGTGATTACAGCCGTATCATTGATGTAATGATAAGACACTTATTGAAGCTAGATATTTAGTCTTAATGTTATCACTCAATTTCCTATCATGGAATGTATTCCATATGGTCGTAATGTTCTCACTCAACGCATTTCCATCATTGACTGTATTCCATATGGTCGTAATGTTCTCACTCAATGCATATCACAGCCCTGCTCTATAAATTGTGACATTTCCTATGAGATTCGCGTGGCCAACTTTAGTTTCCCTTGAGTTTTTTTCGAACTCTGCGTCAAAAGACGATGATTTGGATTAATTTTTAGCTGTAGAATTATGTCTGATATTTCTATTCCAGTCTCAGTCAAGATACGGAAAATAGAAAATTAAAATAAAAGCACAAAATTGAGTGGGCTTCTACCCCGATGATTCTTCCTGCTGGTCCAATGCCTCAACAGGAAAAAATAATGTACTCCTGGAAACGGTGAAAAAAGAACGATGGTGGCCTGAGGCTGTAAACTTGCTGCATGTATTGGACTGTAGTTCAGGTCTGTGTTGTGTCAATGTATTTATTCTTGATGAAGATGCCATGTACAAAAGTTACTTGTTGCTCTCATTGATAAGTGTTGAATTAAAGCTTTGCTTGGCCTCTCCGCTTTCTGCTCTTGATGATGCTTCATCATCTTCCCCTCGGGGGAGACTTTGACGTGAGTCTGTGCTCGTCAGAAGTCCTATGGGATTTTGCGCTCCTAGGGGGATTGTTCCTGAGCGCCCCACCGCTGAGCTCGCGGTGTCCGAACGTTGGTCTCTGTTGTGGGGTTAAGTTATTATGTAGGTAGGATACCGTACATAAAGTTATTATGTATGTAGGATTCCATACATTTCCCTTCACTGTCTCTCTCGTGCAGGCGGCCGACGTCCCGTGTGAGCGACCTCTTGTTCGAGTGTCTTCGTTTCTGTTGCTTTTCACCTGTCCCTCCTTGTCACTTCGTCTCTTTGAGATGCTAACGCTGCTTCGGTCGAGCCAGCTCCAGCGGGCTGGACTTTTGAGGTGAACGATTTTTTGATTTAAGAAACTTTCGATAACTGAGACCTTCCACCTCTTTGTTGATGTTCATCTTGACTTTCGGTGCTAGTTAGCTAAATAGCTGAAGCGCTAGTAAACATTTGGCCACTAAACTAATTAACTAACTCACTATATTTATTTATCTTCGGCGGTGACGTCTCACAATCTTTGGCCTCGGGAGATGCCACACTATATTAACCCAGTACCCTCGGTGTTGCCTCTCGATAGTTAACATGTTTGACGTCCCATTAGCTTTAGTAATAAAGATGTTCTCTTGGTTTCAGTATGAAATTACGAAGAATACTTAGTTAACCATTGATTTCTTAATCAATTTTTTTACTGATACTGACCTCGTTGCCGGGCTATTAGATAAGAGTAACATTGACGATGGCTTACGTATCAGTAGAAAAAGGCGACAAAACCAATGGCATGCAACACTTTGCGCATTATTGTTATCAGCAAATCTTTGCACAACTTTCATTGTACGCTCAGTTTCCCAGCTTTATAATCAATAATGTGTCGTGGTAGCGATATCGTTATAGGTAGTTACTCTTACCTGCACTGACGGTGAGAGAATCTGCACTTAGGTTTCTAGTGTTAATTGGTACTGATTTTATATTCTTGAGTGATCTTAGTCTGACTCAAACAACACTGTTTGTTCCAGTCATGGTTTTACTTGTACCTTATTTTTTTTTTAATTTGGAGGTTCTGTATAAATGTCCATCCATGATTATTTTCTTCTGAAAACCCATTGCTTTAGAACGCGTGGAATTGACTTAGTTTTGCGCTTGAATATCATTTGAACGCACTGTGTGTGATGGCCGCTTGTAAATAAATCCTATAGTAATCCCATGACTGATTTTTTGTTGCACTGATGTTTTTAGTAACACTAAAATAAGGAAATCTATTTTAAAAATCTTAATTTTACGATCAGATGATACTGTGCATCATTTATTTCTAATGACAGTCGTTGAAGCGACAAATTGTTCAAGCCAAAAATAAAACGAAGGCTCGAGTTATCCACAAA